AGTTCATTGATTAAAAATTTTCTCTCCTTGTAAACAACTAAAGGGGGGTAACTTTCGGAAGTTCCTGTCCAAAAACCACTCGAACGATTTTTTCCGAAATATGCATACATGCAGTAGATATAGTCATGTACTAAATATACAAAAATAACGAAAATTAAACGACAGGAATTTTTTGGGGGTAGGTGTGTTGTACATCCTTAAAGCTAAATAGCTTAATCAAGAGATTGTGCTGGACCTGTATATGTCCAGATTACACAGTAAAAACTGAACTGAGGCATCTTGGTGTAATTGATAAATGGCATCGTCAAAACACCCGATTCTGAGGGTCTTTTTTTTCAAAATTAAAATTTACGTCTTCTTCCGTGGTCGTTGCGTTGTAAAATGAATAAATTGTAAAGAATTTAGTAGAACTGACTTTTACGCATGCGTAGTATATATATAAAAATGTCGCAATGTGGATAAATAAGACTAAACAAAGTTAATGTTCATATTTATCGAGATAAAACACCTCTCGATGATTCCAACTATTAATAAAGGCAGAATAAAAGCCAAAACTCGTTTTCTTTGGCCTAACGTGATGAACAGTGCCGGGTAGTCATCCAAGCAGAACGAGACCTTACCTGTGGCTGTCCAATAAGTTAACAATGGACGTGTTCGACAGTGGTGAAATGTTTTAAGTAAGTTATAAGCCGAAAACTGTCCATTATATCAGATATTAGACTCTCCTCGGCGCTAACGCGCCCCGGTAGTCTAATATCTGACATAATGGAAGTTTTTGGCTTATAACCATTACTTACTATTCTAAATGATAGATATCAATGAAAATATGTTGAATTAAAACATTGCTGTGACGTCATGCTTTTGTTCTTGCGATCTAAAAATTTACCTAAAGCCGTCCGATAATAATAATTACCAGTCTGATAATATATTATCGAACGGCAATGATAACAAAATCAGACGGTATTTAAAAAAAAAGAAGAGTGGAATAAAGGTTCAATATCTCCAAAACCAACATAAAAAATTGTAACGTATGAAAAAACAAAGAAATCAAGTTTCTACAAAATAACAAATCCATGAACAAATCGAGTTAAAACCTTCCTCAATATTAATACTTCCCACCTTTTAAAAGTGTTTTTGATACAACACTTTGAGTAAGCGAATTTAATCCATTTCTGAAAAATAATCGGCAAATCTATTAATTTTAAAGGGATTGTTTCCAGGTTGATGCACTTTTAAAACCTGAGCATTTCCATTATGTAAAATACGAGGGGTTATCAAAAAGTTCGTGGACTAGCACCATAAAATTAAAACCGCTTAAGGTACATCAATGAATATTGAAATATCTAGTTAGCATCATCTTGTCTATCAAAGGAATAAACCACAAATCATTAATGTTATTTTTTAATAAATTAGTAATGCTTTTGTAAGCAATGGTATGTCCAGGCGGCGCAACCTCGAAAACGACGTTTTTTTCGACCTACACTACAGTCAACGCGGTTTCCGTATTTACCGCGAGTCCTCGCGGTGTGAAATTGATCGCGGTTTAACACAGGTAACTCAGGTAAAACCGCGTATTCTCGCGGTACGGGCCCTCACCTGATCTACACCATCGCGGTTTGTGATATCGGTCTCAGGTAAATAAAAGCTATCGTCGTAAACGCGAGTTACCTCCCCCAACATTTCGAACAGAGTAAAATGCATGTCAATATATTTTAGCGTCATTTGGTTAAAAAAAATTGTAAAAAGAATTAGGATTGATAAATATATATTTTGTATATTTTGATCTATTTAACGCCATTTTCTTATAGGCCAGCATATTTTTTTCGGATTAAGCATACTCAAAATAGGTTAAAAAATTATGCTGGACCAAATAATAATTATTTGCCGTTAGAAGTATTTTCCCCTATAAATCGGACCAGACTAAAGTCTCCGGTAGGCAAATATCATTTATTTAAATCCAAAACGTTTGAAAAATATATAAATGAATTAGTGATTCACATGAAAATTATTATTTTATTTTCTTATCATTTACATTTTGTAGATTTCTTTATTTCCCCTCCAGTCCAGTTATTAACGAATATTACGAATTAATGCCTCCCCTTTTTCTAGCAAATAAATTTTAAAAATGAGAAAATCTTAAAAAACCAAAACTATATAAACTTAAGAAGACAGTACGGTTTAAGCTCTATTGTGCCCTAAAAATTTAATGTTCTTAAAAAGTTATAAAATTGGCTTTAACAATAGTTGAGTAGATGAAGATGGTAAATCACTAAAGATTATGGCATGAAGAAGGGCCGTTCTTGAAATATGACGTCATTAATTTGGTACATTTTTAAGCTTAATGCGAAAAAGCCTTAAAATGACTCAATTTTATGCTAATTTTCCTTTGGAAAATAGTGTCTGCCACCGTCGCCCGCTTTAATTTTTGGATATATTGTGTAAACTGCTATGAAAAATCACATATCTCAAAATCTCTCCGGGCGACGGTGGCAGAGTATGTTTTCTGAAAGAAAATTCCACTGAAAATTGGTGTCTTCTGCAACTTTTTGAGAAAATACGGGAAGATTGACTAGTTAATGACGTCACAATTAGCATTTCAGAGGTCATATGAGAAAAATCATTTGCGAAATTCTTACTGCAGGAAATTCCTATGATTCAGAAAGAATGAATTTTAATTTCTTATATCACTTTCATATTTTTGAAAAATACAAGGCTTCATTTGTATTGAAACTGTACCTTTTTCTTAGGTTTATATTTATTTTTTTTTCAACTCATTTATTTAATTTACCGTGTCTTTGATGTTTTCTATTTATTAAAGCAACAGAGGGAGAGGTATTACCTAACATTACGCATATACCCGGTAGTTTGTGTGTATCGATAGTGGGGTGGCTTCCTTCGGGGTAGGTGACCTGCGGCAACGAGCATTGGTGCCCCGCTAAATTTGGAAATCTATAGTCCATTCTTACCAACACATTCATTATTTTAATAATCTTTTGTTATGTTTTAATTTCTTTTTTTAAAAAACATTTTTATTCATTTGCCTGTCTTAATTCAGAATTACTCTCTTGCGCGTTTTTCGAGATAAACAAATAAAAGCTCTGCAAAATAAATATTTCCCTACCCGATACGCTCGATAAATTTAGACAAGACACAAACAGACTATAGCATGGGTGTAGAATGCTACAGTGTTTCAGAATACTTGCATTTGAAACATGACTGTATAAACAAAATGAAGGTGTTTATTGAAAATAGACCTGTTGTAGATATGAAAGTAAAAAATAAATTTTAATAGTTTATGAGACACAGCGTATTCAACGTAATTAGAAGTAACCCATCAAGAAAATACATGTTTTTAAATATTGAAGTTATAGTAATTTGGGTCAAAAATTAAAAATTTTTTCAGTTCTAAATTTTAAATTGTAAAAATTAGTAATTATTTCGGGTTTCTATTATGATAATGACGACATTTATTTGACGACATTTATGTCTTTTATTTATCTGAAAAATATTTACATAGATTAATAGATATGTGTAACTAAGAATAAAATTCATCACATGACATTTGTGCATCGTTTTATTTCTTAGGTGGTTGGAACTTCTACAGTACGTTAAATTACAATGCCGTAAACCCGTGGTCAGGACACGGGCACAAACAGGAAGTGTTATGTAATTGATACTTATACACACGAGTACATGTACACATAGGAATATAATTTCAGTATGGTGATCAGTGAATGATACAAGAGGTACACTGATAATAATAGTAAAAGGTAAAAAATAGACAATTTTTTAAAGAAAGGAATGAAGTACACGTATACATGTAATCACTGTATATATATATATATATATATAGAAGAAGGACAGACAGTTTTGAAAATTTTCTTAATAATTTTAAGCCGACCCAGCCGAATCATGCTTATTATTGTTTTTAATTTTAACTGGACCACGTTTTGTAATGAAATGTATATTTTAAATGAAAAATATAATTATATATTTGTATTATTTAGAAACGTAAAATGTAAATGTGTATGATTGTATGAGCGTCTGAATGAATTAAATACAACATTTTAACCCCCCATTCATAGAATATTTATAAAATAAATAATTCAGGTTAAGATAATTTCACACACAGCAAATCTAGCAGTATATGCAGTAAACTATAGTTTACGTTCATACATACACATCAAAATACAATATCAACGAGCCTAAAAAAATCATCAATTCATATCTAGACATATCTTGGCATGTGCATTTTGATACATTTACACGTATCTGCATTCACAAATACATTATAATTATATGCACATTATAATTTAGACACCGAACCCACTAACACTTACGCACACCCAATGTGTTTGTCGCTTATATTTGAAGAATTATACTTTTTGGAAATAAATTTTAGTAAAATATTACGGCAGATGAAAAACAAAAATGAAATAGAGGTTGACGCGATGCATTCATCAATGTTTATAATAAAAGATACTCAAAATATATTTGACTTTTCTTAAACAAGAGAACAGTTAACTTTGAATTATTCATTTAAAATAATAAATGTATAAATCATAAGATATTTTATAAATACACCGACCTCTTATTTTAAAATATCGTGTAACTTTTCTACATTTATCGTTATCTTTTTTATATGAGCAGAGAATAAAAAAGAGAACAAGCAGGTATTTTATCTTTCTCGATTTAATCTCAACAACAGTACCTAACACCGTCACGGTAAACTCGTGGGCCCGCGATCACCGCGATGAGAAAAAACCGTGATGGTGTATCGCGGAAAAGATGAAAACACCATCGCGGAGTCGCGGGGAAATACGGGATCCGCGTTGACCGTAGTGTATGTGTAACTGAGAAAAACTCTTCTGATATGATTATTTGACATCCGAAAATCCCGATAATTCAGGTATGTGTCGGGACACAATTGTTTTATAAAATATGAAATTTTCACTTCATTCTGGAAATTCTATGAAATTTTATCGTAAATTTTACACGGAATGTCCAAGCAAAGAGGTCCTGAAAATGACGTCAATAGGGGTGAGTGGTTTCCGTTTCCAACATTCTATAAAGTTTTGCCCCTGTAAAAACTAGCATAGACCTAAAATATGTTGAAACTGGCTACAGAGAAATAATATACATCCAGAGTACCTGTCTTTGAATGTTAAAATAGATTCAGAGAGTAAGGGGATACACAGTAAATGTCGATTTGCAGTCAAGGTGTGAAAAATCAATCCCGTCAAAAATGACGTTGATCATGTGTTTTAAATATTGAATTCAAAAAAAAAAGCAAAATATGCCGGCACAATCAAGCGCGGATCTCTCCCGATATATTAATCCATCTGGAATATTATATTCATTGAAGGCCATTGTTCATGACATTGTAAAGTCATATAAACAAGGTGCCGGGTTTAAGTCCTTACTCAGCTCCAGGGAATCTCATCAAAAAAGTGTATGAGGTAGGAGAAGAGGACATTGAAAAACAATGACGTTATGGGACGTCATGAAAATAAACGACGACAGCGCCGGATGATCGTATAAAGTCGTTTTCATTTTATAATAATTTGGCAAATGATGAACGTATCAGGCTAAAATTTTCAACATTTCTTTATTTTGTGTTGTTATATGTTCCATTTAAATTTTGAAAGCACAGACTACAAAGTACTAATTTTATAGCCTCAGTCCACGAACTTTTTGATAACCCCTCGTGCAATGTAAAACTCCAGGATGAAATCCCCATTTTTACTTTCCATGTTGATGGTAGTATCATAAAAAAATGAAATCTGTATCAATTTCATTTTATGCACAAAATAAAAAAAAAAATGTTCCAAAATAAAAAGAAAATCCTTCACCACTGGACTACTGTCCTGCTTAGTTAAACGACTGCCAGAAGGAAATGAAACAAGAGTTCACTCATTGCTTTTACTGTCTCATTTCTTTTGTCTCCTTATTACACGAGTAAAAAAACAATTGATGCCTAAACTCCCATTGTGTTATTATCGGTCCTCCAGGTAGCTTTTCGATATTTAAATGGCACTGTTTTAAGTAAGACATATGTCTTATACTATTCTATATGTAAAATTATCAGACAGTTTTCAGCCCTTACGGGCCTCAAACAGTCTGATAATTTTACATATGGAGTATTCGGCATATATCCATTGCATAATGAACTGCATTTAAGCTCAAGAGTTCATTATACATTACAAAAGAGCAAAGATGGAGCTTTTAAACATCAAAGCTTAGATCAGGTGCCATAAGGAGTGAGTATCCCCTGCCAAACGGTCAAACCCATCGCGTGCTATTGTCATGAATGGGAAATAACTGGGAAAATTAGTCGACAATTCAGTGTGTAAATATTGGCTTAAGAATTTATATGAAAAATCTCTGTCAGCATTGTACTAAATGATAGATTTTATTTTCTGTTAAGTTTTGTAACTGCAAATTATATATATAAAAAAAAACAACCTAGGAATATTCTCTACCATGGTCATGTATTTAAAATAAACTATATGAACATCCAACAAATCTCGCTTGACTTGATTTAGTGCGCCTTCCAAAATTTGCTCATCTTTATTCCAGTGTCTCGTACAAATTGAGGCCCATTATTAGCATACGTACTGTATGTGTACTTAAAATAGCGGGCTTCATATTTTAGCGGCTTTGGCGCAGACGAGGATGCGCTAATTTATGAATACCGCTAAGAATTCATTTATAAATAGAATATACAGCATGAAAATGGGTAGCGCGAATTCATGATTACGCCAATAAATCAAAATTGATTGATAGCACTAAATTTTGAATAAGCTAAAAAATGTACATGTACAGTAAACTCTGTTTTGTCTATGAGAATTTGGTCTTACTGTACACACTGTGTTTTGTAGTGCGTGAGGAGAACCCTAACGTGCCTGGAGTTACTATTACTGGTCCCGAGAGATTGGCTGCCACAGAAGGACAGTCAGTGACTCTGAGATGTGAAACACAAGGCAAGTCTTTTGATGAACCGTGTTGCCATGGTTACTAAAAATAGAATTTTCTGTGAAATTCCTTTAAAATGCTACTCCTTCTACAGATTTGGTCTGATTTCAATATTACTTGGCACACAAGTAGACTACACTAAGATATATAGTATAGTGCATCTATTTTTGATTTCGATGAACAGTGTTGCCATGGTTACTAAAAATAGAATTTTCTGTGAAATTCCTTTAAAACGCTACTCCTTCTACAGTTTTGATCTGATTTCAATATAACTTGGCACACAAGTAGACTACACTAAGATATATAAGATCGTGCATAGGATTTCAATTTCGATGAATGTTGTTGTCAGGTTACTAAAAATAGAATTTTCTGTGAAATTTCTTTAAAGCGCTACTCCTTCTACAGTTTTGGTCTGATTTCAATATAACTTGGCACACAAGTAGACTACACTAAGATACATAGAATAGTGCATCGATTTTTGATTTCGATGAACAGTGTTGCCATGGTTACTAAAAATAGAATTTTCTGTGAAATTCCTTTAAAGCGCTGCTCCTCCTACAATTTTGATCTGATTTCAATATTACTTGGCACACAAGTAGACAACACTAAAATACATAGAATAGTGCATCGGTTTTTGATTTCGATGAACGGTGTTGCCATTGTTACTAAAAATAGAAATGTCTGAAATTCCTTTAAAACTCTACTCCTTCTACAGTTTTAGGCTAATGGCAATGACTTCTTTTCTCATCCTTTGTTATAAGTACAAACCAGTAGAGCTACAGTCTCGACAGAGACTTCTGGTTAGAATATGCATTGCTTTCAAGCAAATTATGTGTAAATAAAAAAAGAAAAATGTTCATTTTCTTGTTAGATTCTCAGTATTACTTGTTTCTTTAGGTCTTACTAATGCTGTTGTCCAGTGGAGGAGGAGGGAGGGTCCTTTGCCCCCGGGGTACCTGCCCCCCATCACAGCATTCAGGGAGGAACCCTATACATTCCTCGCTTCCAGAGAGAGTATGCCGGGGAATACATCTGCACTGCCACCACGCCAGTCAGAAATTACGGAGACCTCCGTTTTCATCATTGTAACAGGCAAGAAGTTTGACCAATTGTTTGGAGATGCATACAATTTACATTTAAAAAATTCTTACAGAAAAAACAATAAAGATAAACATAAATATCTGAAATATATTCTTAAATGTAAGGAATGTCTTTTTTCCTTAATTTTTTTTAAGTGTATCATTCAAATTTGTAAGTAAATTAGAAAAATGAGCAAATGTAATGTCATACTGACAAAATAGCCTAATTTTGCAGTGACCCCCAAGTTGAGCATTTCACCAGCTGAAGTAGAGGCCAGGGCGGGGCAGACAGTACAGCTCAGATGTCAGCCCCAGGGTCAGGGACCATTTAACATTGAGTGGGTCAAGTTGGGAGGAGCATTGTCCCCCTCAGCCACCCAGACTGTAGACGGAATCCTGGAGATCCGGGCGGTGACAGCGGCGGACGCTGGACGGTACCGCTGTGTGGCGACTAATTCTGCGGGATCCTCTGATGGCATTGCTGTTGTTGTGGTGCAAGGTACCTTAAACAAGGAAATTTTTCCCCTCCATTTTATTATAGCCCTTTTACCCTCATCACAATATGGCAAATTAAAATGGGGCAAAGAAAACATCTCCTAAACAGAAATTGTGCATGGGTGAATTTAAAATGTGGTAAAAGGGGGAAAATGAGATGAGGCAATGAAGTAATCCTGGAAACTATGTACTGTTGCACTTGATATGAAATAAGATAGAATAAAGTATGAGTCACTCTGGTTTTGTTTATAATATGATTTAATTGTCCTTTTTTTTCTCCCCTGCAGTGCCCCCCACAATAGTTGTTGCTAACAGAGACAGGACTGTTCGTGAAGGTGAGACTGTCATACTTCAGTGTCAGATTACGGGGACCCCACAACCACAGGTCACCTGGGAGAAGCAGGGCGGGGCTCTCCCCTCCAACTCTGACATCAGGAATGATATACTGACGTAAGAATGTCAATTTAAAATAAAACATACATGGTAATATTGTTAATGTGCTTTGAAGCAAGTATTGTTTTAATTATTGACATATTTTGTTTAAAAAATAAAAGTCTGAAATATTACTACTAAAATAGTCTGAGAACTCATAGATTAATATGTGTAATTTTGTACATGTAAAGTGGAAGAAGAGTTGAAAATCTACACTTATTTTTAGTGATTGTACTAGAAACAGGTGATAATCAAATGGATAGCATTAATCACAATTATAAGTAGAAGAAAATGCAGTCTATGAGATTGAATGGAACAATTGCTGGAGCATTGTCAGGTAAATTTAAATAGAATTTGAATTAATTAAAACTGAAATTAGTGAATAGTACAAATATAAAATAAATCTACTAGATTTATCTGAAAATTTACTTCACTTGTTATTTGTAAAAAAAATTATGTCAAGTTCAAACCTACACTCATTTCATATTAAATCCAGGAAATGACAAATATGCGGGGCCAAGCATTTCTTGGAATGGAATTTACCACCAGGAGATGACTGTACAGCTTAATGAATCAACTTCAGGTACAGTTTGTATATAATTTGTTCATCACCTTTATGATTCTTTGTTGCCATGTCACGCATTTCAATGTTTTTACCATTTTAATTTATAGAAGAGTCTGATTTCTGTAAATATCTCAGGTACATCACCAAGTCTAAAACACTTTATTTTGAAGCCCGTTAGGTGTATCCGAATCGAAAGACGTGTAGAGTTTTTCTAAGTTCTTTTTTAACAACGGGTCTTTATGCATCACCGCCGACTTTCCCTCTCGCTTTAGTTTGGCTAAAATTGCTGAAAAAAATTTGTTTGCTGCTTTCAAATCCGGAGAATTAGCAATATCGACTCCAAGTTCTTTCTCAAAATGTTTTGCAGACCATTACAAATGCAAAAAGGGGACTTTTTGGAATAGAGCTCCCCTTTCTGGGTTCTGATTGCTGTGTTGCATAAAATTTTCTAGAAATCATTCAAAGCGTTGTTTGTTGCACAGTAACCGCCAGATCTAAATCTTTTTCAGTAAAAAATCTTTCAATACCTTCAGCGCTCCTTTTATTACATTCTTTGTACTTCCAGAGTCTCTTTTTTTTACAACTTCAAGCAAAATTTCTTCACATACATCACTAAAACATGCCAGAGCTGCCATACCGAAAGTAAAAATGTCGTTAGGTAAATGTGATGTCGTGATCATCAAAACGCTTCAATATCACGACGACGATTTAAACAGGCCACAGTTCATTCTGTGGCCCGGTCATCAGTTCGATATTTCATAATTAATATAAGCAAAAATATAAAATGAATCGTGAAACAGTTCAAAAAGGTTTTTACAATTTATACAGTAGGTTAGGCAAAATTTTAAATGTACGGGGAAAAGTCTTTGAAAATCCTTCGTACAAAATAGGTCTGCTCATTTAATTGATATGTTAATAATGATAATTACAAAATTTTATTATCCCTGAGTATTACGACAGATTGTTTTAAGACAAGTGCTTGGTTTTACTGAAGGACGTAAATTTTGATGTAGACGTTAACGTAATCCTTGCGACTGAATTTAGGTGTGCAGGGATCATGCTACATCTTAAGGTTAAGATCAAAATATTTATGTTGTTTTAAAAATGTTGTTGAAGTCATGATCAGGTATAGTACACACAAATTTAAATTTTTTTTTAATATTGCAAGCGAGTGGTTAACGAAAATTTAAGACTATAAATATTAAATAAGCATTTGATAGCTGATTGAAAATCCGACTTAAGTTTAAATCTGTTTCATAATACCAGGGCCTTGTCTCCAAAAAGTACATGGACTGTTCTCTAGCATCTGCATTTTTTTAAATATACCTTCAGCATACTTGGGATTACAATCAGAATTTTCGGTTTTTTTTAATGTTGAATTGCCCAAAATTTAAAAAGAAAAGTAAAGAGGTAAAGCCACGAACCATCATATTTGGCCCTGTGTTTTTCACAAAAATCGAGTTTCTATTCATGGCAGGTATATATACGTTAATTATTAGAGGACAACATACTTCTTTTCTTTACGTAACTCATTTTATTAAATAATGCGCTGTTAGGCACGTGCGACGGTTTGAAGATGCGACGGTTTCATAAAAACGTTAAAAATGCCTTTTTTAAAACATTTTTCCAAAAAATTAAGTGTGGCCACATAAAAACAACCTTCATACTTACCATATGTATAGATATTGCTGATACGAATCTACACGCTTAATATAATCGTTGTTCATACGTGTGGCCAATATGAAATATGCCTTTACATTTAAATTTTGATGCCCAAAATTCACCAGTTTTGTTAAACATTGGAAATATTTGGTTTATATAACAATAGTTGTATAAAAATTACACACAATATATTCAAAAAAATAATCAGTAGTCCGTTTGAAACCAAATTTGTGGAGAGGCATGATCTTCATTTATATTATCTGAATTAAAACTCAAAAAACATATATAAAGTTACATTTCTCTTCGTCAGTCTTTGAACATGACGTTAAAAGTAATACAAATACGTCAATTGTGACGTCATAGAGACTGTAATTATTTTAGATGGTAATTGATTTTTTTTCAAGATGAATCACTTAAACTTTACTCGATATCATTAAATTACATGTATTAACAGAGGTCTATTTCTATTATCTCCAATTTCACCCCCTTTCAATCGCCTGTTTTCTTTTTAAAGCTGTACACTATTTTCGTTGTAATTAACAAATTGAAAAAATGGACCTCCCCCCTTTTTCTGGATCCATATCACTGTGAAAACATGGAATATCATAATCACCTCTGCCCTTCGTTATACAAGCAAAATTATATTGTGCTAGCTTGCTGCTAAAATATTAATAAAAAAGAAATAATGTACGAAATTGAAGGATTTAAACATTAATTGTCGAATTCCCACGAAACAAAATCTTGAACTTGGATGAGTATATTTCAATTTCAAGCCCCTTTTTAATATTCAGAGGTGTTTTATATTATAGCCGCAATTTACATACGTATATCAGCCATCGATCTTTTTTACTTTTAAACAAAATCTTCCGAAATAATTTTATGCAGGTGTAGAAAAAGTAAATTTTCATACTGCTTCAAAAGCAAAAATCCTACTAATGATCATAGGGGCTTGTCTTCCGGATTATTAAATGTAAAATATTGAACCTTCTTTAAATACACTTAAAAAGTGTCAAAATAAAGATCCTGACACTTTCAGCCAAGAAAAACCACGTTTAAAAAAGACGTACCACATCTATATACAAAAATTTATAGCTTTAAAAAGATTCAAATTTTTAAAAAAATTATTTTACATTTAATGATTCGGAAGACAAGCCCCTATGTTAATGATGCTGTGCGTAGTTTCCCACTGAGGACATCGATGTATGTACATATGTATACTGTATAGTGATATTTTCATCAATATATATTTCAAACAAATATGATTCCATTGGGTACAAATATAAAATACAGAAATATGTCCTTGCATTGGCGTGTCTTTGAATTAAGTATTTATAAAACATTTTCGCAACGCCCCCTTCGCAATGTGTTTTAAATATTTACCTGTAGGTAATCTATACTACAGGTCGTAGTTAGTTGGAGGTAGATGCAAGGGCAAATTAAAGAAATTATACCTACATACACAATCGAAAAAAAATTTACCAGTGAAAAAACTGACGAAGTGAAATAAATCTATTCGATAGTGTTTGGGGGGGGGGGGGGGCGTTTTCATTCATAAATACAAACATAAATCAACAGGGTAGGGTAATTTACTTTTCTTTATTTTATAATTGTAAAAGTATCCCCGGCTGATCAGCAACCTTGATTTTGTAATTGTTGCATGGTCGAAAGGTTACATATCACAACAGCGGGGGTGATCTTTAATCTTCTTTATTGTTAAAAAATAATATTCTGCAAAACTGATAAATAAAACGGCCTTGATTACACTTGAACGGACTTACATATTCCAGGTTTTGATCAAAAGGGGTATCAAACATTATATAAAATGACAGCAGTTATTTAATACATGGGGTGCCCCGAAATCGTGATGAATTTGTTCCCTTATAGATCATAATTTTAAAATATGCTTTGGTATTTAGGATGTGTTATTTTAACATTTTTTCTTTTATCCCAGATGATAGCGATTTGATAGGAATTCGTTAAATTTTAAATTATAAACGTTACCTTCTTTGTCTGTGTACCCGGTATTCATCCATGCGCGGATCTAAATGAAGAGACTGGGATTTGCGGAGTTTTAAATACCTATACTAAACTAAGTAAAAGTGACCTTGGATCCCTCCTAGATGACACTGAAACCCTGGAATCTGTGTTGAGTTTGTATAAACCCTGGAATCTGTGTTGAGTTTGTGTAAAAAGTCATGGTTTTATTTCTAGGGGAAACACAATCATCACCCAAACCACGACCACAATGCCCATCTCTCCCATTCTGGGGAAAAAGCTGTACATGCCGACTCCAACCGGTCTAGAAGATGGGGGAAAAAATCCGACACATGGGAAGGGAGTTTATGTGGGTTTATTTTGTTTATTTGGGGATTTGCTGTTGATTTGTTTTGTTTGTTTGCTTTTTTTTTGGCATGAGAAGAGATTTCTGGCTTGTAATTTTTTTTGGAAAAAATTCTATCCGCGCCTGTTCATCTGTTGGCATTTAAAGAGATTTAAATAAAGTGGTTATAGATTTTTTTGGCATGAGAAGAGATTTCTGGGTTGTATTTTTTTGATAAAAAATTCTAACCCCGCCTGTTCATCTGTTGGCATTTAAAGAGGTTTAAATAAAGTGGTTATAGATTTGGTAATTAATTTAATTTATCCAAACAAGGCCGTCAAATGTCTTTGACTATGAATCTCGAATGAATTTCCAATATGCATAGCAATGTACACTACCCTAGAGCTTCTACCGAAGGGATAACACTTAACGATAAAAAACGTGTGAAGGTATGTCGGCAAAATTATATCCTTCCATATGTACAGCAAGTCCGAGGGATAATTTTAAACAAAATGTCCATACAATTAAGCATGATACGAAAAAATACATGTATATACACGTGATAATGTTAATTACGCACGATCCTTATGTTTTGAATAATCGCACAAGTTGCAACGGCTATTAAAACAGCCTTCTGTTGCCTATACTTTGTTTTTACCCCCACCCCCCCCCCCCAAAAAAAAAAAAATTTAACACTTAACAGATAATATTTACACCGTGAATAATTTTTCCCTATTTTCTCTTATGTCTAATGTATCTTTTTTTTTTTTTTTTTTATTTAACAAGACAATATAACAGTATTTGACACTATTTTTAATCAAAGCAAAAACTAGCTAGCTACATGACATTGTATTTATCTCATGATTCAAAACTTCTTAAGGTCCTTTGATAAAATTTCCCAAATTCTTAGGTGGGTTTATTTTAGCGGATCCCCCTTCCGATAATGTAGATATAATTACCTTCATTTAAATAACGTTAACGTCATACCGTTACAATATACATGCGTATATATAACGTCAAAAGTCATGACGTTATACATGTTTATTACACACTTAGTAATAAATACAGGTTTTTTGCATATGCGATAGGCACGTCACAGTAGCCGTTTAACCGAGGGCTGATATGGATTTTCGGGGCGGATATATGTTATCAGCCCGGCAAAACCAAATCGGCCCTGCAGGGCTGATACGGCTATTGTGACGTCAATATCACACCCTTAGTAAATAAAACCACAATAACAGTACTTATACACATACACAATTTTTGATGGGTTCATATTCTCTTAATTTTAACTTTTTGAAATTAAAGTTAGTCTTAATTTACAAATACATGTATATACTATAGAATATTTTCAAATTACGGATCAAGTGCATTGAAATAGAAATAGAAACAAACCCAAATCTTATGAGACATTAGACTATGTACATGTATGTAAGAAGTCCATGCATGATTATTTACTTATTTTCTTCTCAACTGTATTTTATTACTAAGTATGTAAAAATATAATAAAACATACCCTTTTCCACATCACATCCTGATCAGCCCCCGACCAAACAGCCTTCGGGCCTTCGGCCCTTGGCTGATATTGGTGTCTCGGGCTATACAGGATGTGATATGGAAAAGGGTATGTATTTTCTCTATATATTTTACTTAAACAATACCATTTTCAAACGACTATAAAAAGAAAACTGGAAAAAATATCACTAAAAAATAAATTGTGTTATAACCCACAAAGTCTAACCTATCACAGAGTAAAATTTATTTTTTTGGGGACAGGGCATATTTTGGCACTTCGTGGCTGTAGCTCTTTACAAAATTCATTTTTTTTTAAGTAGTTGTTTAGAAATCCAGAAGAGGTATGTAATATAAAAAGAAATTTTAGTGTAATGATTGTTACATGTAAGTATTTAAGTTCTGTAACATGATTTTGAAGTAGTTTCCCTTTGTAAAGAAAGCTGTGGGGAAATTTTAAAAAAAGCTAGTAAAAGATTAAGATACATTTGTAAAGACGAGGCATAATAAATTACTGATGGGATTGCATAAAGAATATCAACCCATACCAAAACACTGATGAGTTCTTATTGTGACTTGTAGGGATCCTAGCTTACTTCTCATTGACATCTGATCCCACCTCTGATGTTTTCGTGGTCCTTGTCTTCTACAGTACATCCCTATTATGTTATGATTATGGACTTCACAGCTCGAATACTGTTCGTTATCTCCATATGCAGTGTACTTTATAAAATCAAAAAAATAAAGTATTTATTATTGTTAGAAACCTTGCAATTTTATGGAAAAAAGACATAATTATACATTTATACATTGCAGTACAAACACATACTTTATCTATTTTTATACATTTCTTATAAAACACATAAAAACAAAACAACAATTTTAAGGTCAATGATCTTTTATAAAAAAAAATCCAAACTAGCAAAATACATTAACTTACATGTAATTATGACATATTTTAAAATTCAAATTGTGCTAATGCATATTATTGACATTTAGTATCAAAATAAAAATTGAGCTAATGTGAGCACTGAGCTCATAAATATACCCTGCCCCCCATATTTGTTTTGCTCTGAAAAATCTGAAATAAGTTTCATATCTAACTGTAAAATAGGGGGTACACATTTGCATTATATAAAAAAAATTTTAAATATCATTGAATTTATTAGGTTTTTAATTATTAATTAATAAAATGGGATTTATATTATAGGAAATTATTTTATTTTTAAACCCCAAATTTCCCCCCAAAAAAGGGAGACATTCACTTTGAAAAAAAATTTGTAAATTTTAAAATTTAAATTAGTGGGGGAATTGGGGGTACGTAAAAAAACAAAAAAACAAAAAGGGAAAACCCCATACATGACCCTCCCCCTTTTTAAGCCGGATGTTTAAAAATTTTGAAGACAATGGCGTGTTAAAGATAATAGATGCAAGGTGTTTTTTTAAATTCTTTTTTAAACATACATGTGTGTATTTACAGAAATTTAGTAATTTTTTTTTAATTCGTGTTCCTTTTGCAAAAACTTCAATAGTCAACATATTCGGTTCTATTTTCGTTTAAGAAACCTCTGATCTTGAGTGGGTTTTTTTTTTGTATCTTAAAAACGGAAATCAAGATGTAAACAGTGATTCGAAAACCTAAAAAAATCTTGAAGTAGCTTTTTGAATCAATTGAAACGACTTTTATATACAAACAGATGCATTTGACAAAATTGATGTACAATGTGAACAGAAATTTGAATAAAGTATAAATATTTAGAAAAACTACCGAAAATAATAACACAATTTAATAAAATTAATAAATCAAAAAATAGGTCTTAAAGCAATACAAATATTAAGTCACTAAAGCTATATATTTCTCTTAAAAAAAATTGAATAAACAAAATGAATTAAATATATAAATTTATAAAAATGGTTTTCATAATATGATCTTATATTTTCTTGAGAAATGTTTAAGTGTAATAAAGATTTCTTTAAGGAGTACAAAACATCCATGATATCTACATTTAATAATTACAAAGTCAAAAAAACATTTTTATTCACAAAGATATAAAAAAAAGGCATATCTTTGCTTCAGATTTGACTTTGACTTTCGAGGACAAAATAGTTGTCGTCATTCGCCGCTTCCGTGTGAGCATACACATCGTCTTCAGGTAAGACAACTCCTTCATTACTTCGTCCTGCATTTAAATGGCCGTAATCGTTTTCCAAAGTCGTCCAAAGGGAAAAGCAAGCATGGTTGTAAACGCTCTCCGGTTCCTCATTCTCTTTTTCGTGAAGATGGTTGTAGACATCATCTTCTTTTTAAATGTGACGTTTTAACCTCTTTAACGTTACTGTACGTTGGGGATTCCATAGACGGAGAGTAAAAACATTAACGATCTTTCGCTACCAAAA